ACCCAAAGAAGAAAGAGCTTCTATTAAACTTAATGTTATTTTGGGTCTGCTTTCTTTTTCTTTAAGTTATTAAAATAAGTTTGCTAAGTTAGTTCTTGCTCGCTGCTAATATTTTGGTCTTGTCCGTTTTTGGAAAAAAGGATCAGCGGGAAGAGTCTATGATTATAGAACCTTTTTCTTAGCACCAAGTTTAAATTATTTTTAATATAAATATTTTAATAAGTTTACTATTAGGTTTGGTTATTTTTTGGAGACACTACTATGGGAGGTGGATGCAAAAAAAAGTCTGTTGTTTACGATATGATGTCTTATGAAAATCGACAGCTTTTTTATTTAATGAACAATACCTCTACAGACATTACTATTCGAAATATTCATATTAACAATAAGGAAAATTTATTAAATTAAAATAAAGTAAATAGTTTTTTTGTATATAAGATTTTATCTGATATGTAACAGAAGAAAACGTACCTGATCCAAACTGTGAGGGATTATATTAGTAACATTGATAGTTAACTGACCTATCATTGTAAAATAATTTTTTTATATGGTGAGATTAAGTTTGGATCAGGTATATTTCTTCCGGTTCTGATATATAATTCAAAATGTGATTTTTGTTATGTACTAGTCACATAATCGTTATATAATTTATACATCATCATGTTTAAAATATTTATTAATTTACCAATATTTTAATCATTTAGCATTCGAAGGATATTTTAATTCATCAAGAAAAACCAAATGTTACAGATTTTGGACTATCAAAATAGATAAAAAACTACTTATAACTTCAAACTTAATCGCTCATAGAATACTGGTATATATCGAGCTTTTTTAATTCTTATAGATATAATCAGTGTCTGAAATTGGGTTGCGGAGTCTGCAGTCCGCAACAAAATTTTAAATTTTGCAACCAAAATCTGAAATGTGTATGTGGATTTCGTATATAAATTTGCAAAATTTACCTATAAATTTCGATTAGATGTTTATTTGTGCAACTAAATTTTTTTGGATTTTTATAATCCACAAATAGTTTTTTTTATTTGGTTGCGTCCTACGACTAATTTAAAATTTGAATTTCAGACGCTGGATGTAATATGAAATCTGACTTCTACAGCTTGAGTAATTTTTTAGGAGATTTCAAACAGAAGACTACCATTCTAAAGCTTCAAATCAAAAATATTCTCTGCCCTCATATATGCTATATACCAAGAAAATAAAGAAGCAGCAATAAAAGGTACACATTTTCAATAATCTGAATTTAACAGTAATGTGATAATGGACCTACTAATCGTCCAAACCTAGTCAACATCATTTTACTAGACGTCAGTTCAAGGTATGGTTATTCTCAAGTCACTGGGACAATACAAAGGTATATGTATCTAATGCAATAAATTCAATCCTTATAAAGAAGTTCTTGAGAACAATCAGCATAGTGTTGAAGATCAAAAAATTGCTTAAACCTGAAATCTTTATTATGGGTATAGACAAGATTACTTTACATAAATATCATACTAACTTTGAAACTTAGTAATAATAATCTTGATAACATTAGCAGATGAGCTTTTCAGGAATACTATGCTGATTTTTTTCAATCTTTGTTATAATTGACTTAGATTAGAAAAAGGAAAAGCATCTGCTGCTTTGCAAGAACACCACTCTAAATATTTAAAAGCATTAGCAGATCACTTTGTAAGAATACTATACTGATTTCTTTGAATCTTAATGGTAATATCTTGAATCAGAATAAGAAAAAAGCATTAATCGATATATTTTACTAGAATATCACATTAATTTTTCTAATCTTCTTGATTAGGAGGAAAAATTATTAGTAAATGCATTTTGCAGGAATGCTGCTTGGATTTTTCATGTAATAATATTTTAAAATCGTACCTCATATTAAAAGGGTCCATTTTGATGAATTTTCAAAAAATTTTTTATTTGGATTTTGAATAGATATGTATTTAATAAAAAAGTTCGCTATAAGTAACAGAAGCTAATTATATAAATATTTGAAATCATTGTTAGTTGCACTATATTTTAATATTAAATTCTTGAATAAATTTAGATCTTTAGCAAGTGACGGGTTACATCTAATTATAATAATATATTTGGGTCTCATCATTATTCAAGCAATCTATAGATAAGAGGATGTTTATTTAAGATATTATTATAAGTATCTGAATAAAGATGACTTATTAGCATGAATAAAATCGTTTAATGCTATTAGAACTCCTACTATAGCAAAGTTTTGAAGTATATAAATTTTTTGCATTTATCCTTCTCAACCTTTGTAACAATTCTATATTCTATTAACTTTTCTATAGTAGCGAATTATAGATAATGAATGCTTTAAATTCTATTAAAATCACTTAACCATATTAGCAAACTTCTGAATTAAGAAAATGCTTAGTTAAATGTTCGGGTAATATTTTTTTTATTTGATATTCTATAATTCTATACAAAAAAAAAAATCTGTCTATATACAATTGATATATCGACTATATCAACTACTGATTGTTATTTGACTATGCAAAATTAATTAATTGGCTTTCATAACCTGATCAGGTCAAATTTTGAAAGCTTATAAAAAAATTTTATAAAATTTTATGTATGAAATTTTTTTAAAAAAAAGCCAGCTGGCGAGCCAGGTCAGTTCAAAAGTTTCATGCTATGAAACCAAGATTTTTTCTTTTAAATAGATGCCCTCAGGCACGAAACCAAGATATTAAATCTGTATGGCCTTATTTAATATAAATTTTTATTAGAATCAAAATTGAATAACTATTATATTTTCTAAATATTAAATATATTTACCTCTAGTGATTTATTTGTTGAAAAGGGACACGGGGTAAAATAAATCTATAATGTCTTTGAAAAGATCTTATATTATTAGAATTTTTGTTTAAATCAACTTCATGAAGTTGTGGTGGATTTGGTGCATTCGTTTGGGCTACGGCTGGTCTTAAAACAAAATAATAAAATTAAAATAAAGTATTACATAAATTATAGTTCGAAGGCATTTTATTAGTAGATTTCAGTTCTTACTGTTCAGAAAATTCTCCTGAGTCTGCTACAAATTTACAAGTGGCAGTCCCACATTAAAAAACACGATCATTCTCTTTTAACTCTGATTGTGACCAACTAAAGGTAACTTCGTAGGAGCTATCATTATCTATAAACAAAACGTAACCTTTAGTTTTTAATTTCGGGTCTTGTCGAACATTCCAATAGTCATAATTGACCAATTGCTTCAGTCTCTGCTCGCCAGCTTCACCCTGAAATGAACAAGAATATTTTTGTTGTACAGGACTATACCGGAAAGAAGGCTCATTCTCAAAAAGGTAAACAAATATATTTTCAGGAAAGGCGTTAATTGAAACTTGTTTTGTGCCTATAGAATGTCTATTAAAACCAAGTCGTTTTTTTATAAGAACTATAAACGCATCCTGATAAAATATGATTTGTTCAAGAGGAGGTTGGGTAAGTAAATAACGGTGAGGTATAATTTTGTTATTCCGATGCCTAATTCTCTCATGAATTACAAGCTTTTTACGTGAAGAAAAAATTTCATTACAAAGTTGGCAATTATTAGCCATTGAAGTTCTATCTGCACGTATTGATATCAATATGTTTATTATTGGTTAATCTATTTTTAGATATCACGAATATCACATTCAAATTTATGTGACATATTCGAATTTCCAAAATCCGCCCATATGTTGGATTTGATCTTGTGATCCTGTAATTGCAAATGGATGATCTGTACCTCTTTAGAACCGTCTTAGTGAGCTGATTCGAATGGTGATAGTTTTATCGAATTCTGTTTAGTGGTTCAAGAGTTATGGTCATTTTTGAAGGTTAACACTATATATAGAATTTAAACATCTAATCTACTATTTGGGAAGTTAATAACTTATATATTTCACTAACTTATTACATCCTTTTAGCTAATATTTTAATTTTAATATTTTTATAATTTGACAAATTATAGTTCTTCTAAAGTAATAAATTAGACTTAAAGATCTTTATTGCATTATATAAATTTGCATTTAGAAAATAAAATTTTAGACTTTGAATTAATATTATTATGAATTCAAATATTGAAAATGAAAGCTAATTTGAGTTAATAAAATTTTAATCACATATGTTAATAATTGTATTTTATATATTAATAATGTGTTATTATATCTAATAAATTGTATTGTAATTGCAAATATAATGATTAAAACAAAAAACTCTCTTCTATAAATCTTTTAACTAAAAATTGTTAAGAAGTAAAACACAGAAAAATCACAAAACCTACTAAGAAACAACATTTAGACTCTTAATAAAAAAGAAAGAGTAGCAAAAGTTACATTTAGCTAAAAAACAAAGACATAAGTAAAAAAGCTTAGAAGTAACACAGCTTGAAAAGATTAAAAATTTCAATAAAAACAAAAATTTTGTAGAAATTTCGAGAAATTTCTATGACTTTGTTGTGAAGACAATTTAAGTTATATGAAAAGTATAGCAAATAAGTAAAGTAAACAAACAAGTATATATAGTAAAATAGTTTACTAGAATAAGCATGTGATATAACAACAACTAAACTAAACTAGCTAATAGTTGAAACATATAACAAAGATATCATAGAGTATATTAAAGGTATAGAAAACAGAATTTGCAAATATGTAGATTGCAAAATATCAAACCAAGTTCTCAAAACACCAACAAAAGGCCCAAGCAACATAAAGCATATTGCAAAAGATTTAGCAATCTATAACTCAAAACATATTATATTGCAAAACTTACTAGTTTATAATCAGATATTAGAAGTTTTGAGAATAGCTAGCTTAAGAAAGAAATAATTGACAAGTGGACAGAAAAGCTGAGGTCAATAAGCTACAATCTAAGCTTATTTAAATATGATACAAATATAAAAGAAGGAAAATTATACTAAAAAAAAAGCAAAAAGAATAAGATAAGAATTTTAGTTAAAACTAATAAAACAAAAAAGTTCATCAATAAAGAGCAGAATTAAGAAAAAAGAAACAATTCTGAAGAGTTAAAGCAGAAATTAAAAATACTAGAAGAACAAATAAAAGGACTTAGCATTGCTACATCACAATATTAAACAAGTCAAAATATTAATAATTTGAAATATAAAGAAAAATTACTAACAGAAAGCAAAAAGACAAAATTAGAAACTATGAATATAAAAATAACAGAACAAGAAGAAGAAATAAATAGTAAAGAAAATGAAACAATGTTTCTACAGATTCAATCAAGCACAACTGTTGGTCTTTAGATAATTGAATAAATAATAAAAATAAGTCTTTTAAAGCAAATATGCCAATATATATCTTGTCAGAAGAAACAAAAAAAAAAAAGTAAAGTTCATTTAGTTAATTTTTAAAAAAAATCATTATATTAAAACAGTCAAAGAGATATTTAAAAACAAAAATAATTGAATAGAAGTAGATTTTGACTGTGAGCATAGTAAAGATGCAACAATAGACAAAATTAAGGGAAAAAAAGAAGAATAGCTAAAACTCATATTAGAAAAAACCAAAAATAAAACTCAAAATATAGAATAGCAAGAGAAGCATAACACTAATAAAAGAAAAAAAGGAAGTACAAGACAAATATAAACAAAAAAGACAATAAAATGGAAGAGTTAAATATTAAAAATAGAAAAAGAAAAGAAGAAAAATACAAAAACACAAGTTAAGCAAAAGCAGAAGTTAAAAATACAAAAAGTTTTAGATAAAAAAAGATTTGAAAGCAAAAACTATCTAACAATTTGGAACTTATCAGTAAATATCAATATAGAAGAGATAGAACATATATGCAAAAACATCAAAAATGCCAAAATAGAATGAATCAAAAGGTCCAAATACAAAGCCTTGGCAGTAATATATACTAGGAGTTTAAAAGAAGAAAACATTTTATGAGTCTTGCCAATTGGTATATATAAACTAGTAAGAGTGTTTAAAAACAATGAAAATTACAGCTTACAAAACCAATACAATCAATTTACATCAAAATTACTAGAGCTTCCTGAAAATGCATCTGAAGTGCTACTATTGCAATGCTTAAGAAAAAAAGATGCTAAGTCAGTAGATATACTAATAAACAGAAATAGTAATCAAAGAAGACCTGCAATAATTACCTTTGCATTAGAGAAGGAAATGAAGACAGCACAAACTAACCAATAAGACTTAACAACTACTTGCTATTTTGACAAAGTGAAACAAAAAAAATAAAGCATAATAAAGAGGATGATTACTATAAGAAGTGCATAACTATACATGACATAAATGTAGACTCAGATACAAAAGTATATAAAAACAAGAAAAGTAGAAAAAAAAAAGACACAAAAGAGTTTAACAAAAATAAAAAAAAGCATTACATATATTCAACAAAAAAAGAAAATCTACAGACATAAAACCAAGATTTTTTGAAAAAATCCTTAAGAGACTAGAGAGACTAGAAGCACAACAAAACAAGACAAAATAGAAGACAGAAGAAGACTTTACTAACCACTTCTAACAGTACTATAGTTGAATTAATAAGCATAGACCAAGAGATTGGAGAGTTCTTGTATAGTAAAAGAAGAATTTTTAAAGAAAGAAATATAGATATATCTCTTAGCTATAATAAGAAAACAAAAAAAAAAGAAAAAAAAAAATGGAAAACATAAAAACAAGGCATAAATGTCTAAAAGAAAAATAAAAACAAGAAAAGAAGAAAATAAAAATTGCATGCCACAATATTAACAAACTTAAACCAAGAGGATAAAAAGTAGAAAACCTTTTAGAATAGACAGAAAAAGAAGAACTTATAATAGTAGGAATAATGAAAATGAACCTTACAAAAAAAAAAAATTTTTATTGTGTAGTTATAATACACAGTATAAGAAATATTAAACTAGTGTAGTAATAGACAAGAAAAAAAGTTTAGGCATAGGAATACTAATAGATAAAAAGTAGAAAAAGCATGTAAAAGCAGTTAAAAAAGTCAGTGAATATATGTTAAAGGTAAGATTATATTTTAAACAATTAGAATTAGTAGTACTAGAAATATATATTCTACTAAATAACAAATCAATTAGTAAGAAACTTCAGCAAAAAATTGTAGAAGTAGTAACAAACAAGAAAAGATATACAAAACTAATTATACTTGGTAATTTTAATCACATAGTAGATAACATACTAGACAGACAATATCTGCAAACATTAAACTACAAAAAACTACTAATATTTAGTTGACTCAAAAAACAAAACTTCATAGATTCATACAAAAACCTACATCTAACAAAAAAAGCATACACATGGTCAAGTCAGAAAACTGCAACAAGAATAGATTATATTTGGCTATCTAAAACATTTGTGTCAGGTCTACAAAAAGCTAATATCAAAGAAGCAGTAAGTGTGACAAACAGCAATAATAAAATAATAACAACAGAAATATAGGTAAAACATATAATCAAAAACAACAGTAAAGCAAAAATTAAATAAAAAGACCAAATAAAAATAATATATCTATATAAAGAAGCAAAACAAGAAAACTAGAAAGATTATACAAAAGTGCTACAAAATTAGCTAAAATAGAAAAAAGCATTAAAATGACTAAATGATAATAATATAATAACAAAATATAGTACAGAGATACTAAACCAAATGTGAAATGCAATAAAAGAAGCCATAATTGAAGTAGCAAACAAGCAAATCCTAAAGGAAAAAATATTCAACACTAAGTTAAATAGAAGACAAAACTAAAAATAAACAAAGAAATACAAGCACATTACTAAACTTTAATAAATAATTAAGAAAACAAGAAATAAGAAGTAAAAAAGAATAAAAGAGTTGAAATAAACAACAAATTTCAAATTATAGAAAAAAAGCTAGATGCAACATTGCCAAAACTATACAGACAGTAGTCAGAAGTCTGGATAGATAATATAAAAGGTTGGCAAAAAATAATTAAAAAAAAAAAAAAAAATGAGAACAAACACAAAAAAAACAAATAGAAAAAAATATAAACAAAAGATATAAAATGATTAAAACAGATTAAGATCAAATAATTGCTAGCTTACTAAATAAACTATACAAAAAAAAAAATTGTTTTAGACAGATTTATAATACAAAACAAAGAAGAAGTTAACCTAATATCAGAACCAAACACAGTTCTAAATAGTTTGGCAACTTATTTTAAAAACCAATTTAGAAAATAGAAAACCAAACTTGAAAAAATAGCAGAAGAATAAAAAAGAGTATATAACCTAAAAGATTAGATCAATAAAACCTAGTATAAGAAATTAGAAAAAAGAATAAAAGAAAAAAAATAAAAAGAAATACTTAAAGAGCTTAAAGTAAATATAGCTCTAGAAATATCAGGCATAAGCTACATATTAATAAAACATGCAGAGAAGAGATTGCAAAAGATTTTTAGAGCCTTTGCAAATCTGATTTTAAAAAAAAAATATATCAAAGAAGTAGAAAATTGCACAAATATATTCAATCCCAAAAAACATAGACTGAGGTTATTGTTTAACTGTTTAAACAATATTAAGCCAATAGCATTGATTGAGACCTTTAAAAAAGTTATTACAAAA